CTCTCTCTCTCTCTCTCTCTCTCTCTCTCTCTCTCTCTCTCTCTCTCTCTCTCTCTGTCAGTTTGTCCAGGAGGCTCTGAGTAAGAACGACACCGTCCTCCAGTTCTTCTCCCCTCCGGTGAACTGCAGCGTGGACATCCAGTCGCTCCGGACGGTCGTGCAGCTGGACAACGAGAAGGAGGACCTGAAGAGCTTCGACTACCACCCGGACCCCTCCTTCAACAAGCTGGACAAGAACGTGATCACGGAGACCGGCATCATCATCGTGACCGTGAGGACGGACTGCGGTCACGTTTACACCCAACGTGTCGCTCTTTACCTCCGGATCTGTGGAGTTCACGCTCTTTGTGTTTTTCTTTCTGTCTTCAGGGTCGAGGTTTCGACAAAGCCATGACGGCCAAAGAGGCCCAGGCGTTTGTTGGAGACGCCTCCTGCCCCGTTAACTTCCTGCAGGTAAACGCACGCTTTCCTCTCATTTATAATTTGTATTAAGTTTAAAAACACATTTGGAGACTTCAGTTTCTCTGTATTTTATTTTTTTTAGGTGAGAAATGAGTTCCTCAATTGATTTATTAATCCTAACTTGACCTTTTAGGACAGAAAAGAGTTGAAAGTGCTCTTCCACTTGTGATTTAAACAACAAACTATCTTGATTACTTTGCTATGAAGCTAAGAAGCTGAATGATGCATTATCACGACTGAAGTGTTCTTCCTCTCTCTGCGTACAGGATGATAAGTTGATCCTGGAGGCTCCTTCGTTGAAGCCCGGGTCCAGATCCAAACGCCAGCGCAGAGACACAACCAGCGACATGCTGGACCTCGTGGTAACTAGAAAGCTCTGTGATCTGTCGAGCTTCAGAGAGAGATGCAGGAATGAGGCTTTTGTTTAGATGTTTGAAATAAAGTCTGTGTTTAACACAAGCTGAAGAGATTGTAACATTTAGTTCTCTGATATAAAACAGGTCAGTGAACGCCCCTCTGGTGACTCTTAGAAAGAGGGTGAATGAGACGACTAGACGTCCTCACTGGAACATTCAGGATGCTCTCCGTCTCTCTGCAGGTGAAGTTCGGTGACGGCGAGTGGAAGGTGGATTCAGTGTACTACGCCAGAAAAGACGACATCCCTCTGGCTACCATCATCCCCGCTGTTATCATACCGATGCTGCTCTTCATCGCCGTGTCCGTCTACTGCTACAGGTCAGACAAATGATATCGAATCACACACACACACGTTTGCCTTTCTGTCGATGTGTTCAAACATATCTTCGTGTGTGTGTGTGCGTGTGTGTGAGAACAGGAGGAAGAGTCAGCAGGCAGAGCGAGAGTACGAGAAGGTGAAACACCAGCTGGAGAATCTGGAGGAAAGCGTTCGAGATCGCTGCAAGAAAGAGTTCACAGGTACAGAAGAAAAGCCACCTGACGGCTTATTACAGCCCCAGTCTTATTTTAGATGCTTCGGTTCTAGCCGACATTTTACTCCAAATGCGCACAATAAGGACATTTAAATCAAATCTAGTCTCAGATAGAGCTGATTACTTTCTATTGTTCTGTCATTTACAATGTATGTTCATGTTACAATGTGACTAGAATTTATTGAAACATTGAAAACAAGCCGTATATTTAATATCACATTAGAAACCATGAATATGTATTTTTAGAGATTCAGGAACGTGTCCGTAAAAGAGTTTAATGATTGCATTGAACAGTAGAATCTGAAAATGTAGTTCTCTTCACAGTAAAGTTGCATGTTTACGTGCTAAATGTATGTTTTAAATGCTTTATTTCTGCATATTTTAAGGTAGAGCACCTGCCAGAACATCTTGAGTCTTTACAGATATTTCCTGTAATCTAGTAGTTTGTACTTAGACCTCATGTGGACGTCTGTCCCCACCTGAAGGCTTCCGGCGTCCAGCAGACGCAGCACAAACTTCCGTCCACCGAGCTGATTTTTTTTTTTGTCGTCGGCGTCTCGTCACAGATTAGGACGACGTCGTCTTTTGGCTCGGGCATCAGAGCAGCTTCCCTTCGGGTCTTCTTGGCGAGCTCGGTGGGCCGTTTTCAGCCGAGAACTTGAGGGATCAGTTGTTGAGCTGGAGGGGAAGTCGGCACAGTCATCGCGCGTCAGATGTTTCTAAAGAGACTTTGAAGGGATTGTAGGGGTGTTTTGAAGTGGGGTTGTATGAGGTTCTTCTCCATCGTTTAAACACCTTTAAGTGTACGTTATATTCAGAATATTTTCACCGCTTTACCTTGCTGTCAGAGAGATTATATGCTCTCTTTAAAGACACCAGACCCCTTTGACAAAAACAGTAATTTGACGTAAAAGACAACAGCTGCCTTGATCGGTTAGTTTGTGTTATTGTGTGTTTTAAGAGGTTAGTTCGTGTTCATACTCTTACTGCAGCCCCAACTCAAAGTACAAATGATTTCTGATCTCAGATCTGATGATTGAGATGGAGGACCACACCAGTGACCTGAGCGAGGCCCGGATCCCCTTCCTGGACTACAAAACGTACACCGATCGAAACTTCTTCCTGCCCACCAAGGACGGCGCCAATGACACCATGATCACGGGAAAAATACAAATCCCAGAAGCCCGCAAGGCCATCGTGGCTCAGGCGCTCAACCAGTTCTCCAACCTGCTGAACAGCAAAACGTTTCTCATCAATGTGAGTTTGAAGCTGTTTGTTCTGTCCCTCTTTGCCCTTCTCCGTCTTTATTTTTCTCTTTTCCTAATGTTTGTCCTTCAGTCTGTTTCTCACTGTCAGCAAGTTTCAAACTCCGTCTCAGCAAGTTTCTGGCATTTCTTAGAGACAATTAGATATTGCAGTAAAACTGTATTTCTCCTACAAGATGATGTCCTCGAGCACAACCGTCAGACCAGAACCTTTACGCACTAGAGGTCTTCACAGGTCCAAAACTACCACAGCGTATTAGGGCCATTTGTAAAAACAAATAATAAATACGGAGTCCAAGAAAAACTCAGAATTTCTGAAATTAAAGTGGTAAATTCACAAGAAAAGAACTTGGATATTCTCTTAGATTAAAGTTGTAAATGTACAAGAATAAAACTTGGATCTTCTCGGAGATTGAAGTCATCAATTTATGAGAAAAAACTCCAAGATTAACGTGGCATCTTTAAAATCTCGATCATTTCGCCATTTTGGATCAACTTCATCTCACCACAGATGCTGCGTCTCGCCGTGTATTACGTCTGCAGTGGACGACCTGATCAAATCATACTTTGCCGTCGGATTTATCAATAAGGAAACACTTGTTATTTAAACCCAGAATCACCAAATCCTCATCAGCGTCTGGACTTTGAAGAGACGTTGCCGTGAATTTGGGTCTTTTCAGAAAAAAACAGCACACTTTGCTGTAAATTTGTGAGTTTTTTTAATGTAAGTTTACGACATTAATGTTGAAAATTCAGACATTTTTCTCAGAAATGTATTTATTTTTCTTACCATGGTCCTGATACGCCGTCGTATAAAACCCATCATCATAAACATATTTCTAAAAACAGACTCGACCCTCTGACTGTTGTCTCTCGCGTTCACACACAAGAATGGATTTCATCCAAAGCAACAAGAGGTTTTCCTGCCAAAACCAAAACTCTTTCTTTCCGCTCTAAAGGCAGCCAATACGTCTGTTAACGTGTTGGACTCTTTTACATCCTTGTTTGAGAACCCTGGTCCTTACTACTATCATTATACTTCTACTATTCATTCATTGTGTGTGCTGTATATTGTGCTTTTGTCTGTTGTTGTATTTGTTCTCATGAAACCTGTTAGTTAATTGTCATTGTGTGGGTTAATGTGCGTTTGCGTGTCATATTTAACAGGTTAACAGGAATACTGTGATTTGTGAAAGAGGTTTATTTGTACATTTTCACACTGATACTCAAGAAAAGGGGCCGCATCAAATGGATCATAACAATTGGTATTATTCATATACTTATTAGTCTTTCCCGGTCATGTTTTGTTAATTTAACGTCCCCCCCCCCGCTGTGTTTTCTTCCCGCAGTTCATCCGCACGTTGGAGAGCCGTCCGGACTTTAACGCCCGGGCTCGCGGTTACCTGGCCTCCCTGCTGACGGTGGCGCTGCACGGCAAGCTGGAGTATTACACGGACATCATGAGGACGCTGCTGCTGGAGCTGATGGACGAACACGTGCAGAACAAGAACCCCAAACTCATGCTGCGGAGGTGAGGAGGCACAAAGCCTCGTACACACACCAACACACAGCCTGTGAGAGCCGATGATAGTGAACAACACATCTATTATTCATCACGGCTGGTTGTTATTTGCTCACGCTGTATTCTTTAACAGGTTTAAAAGGAGAGAAGAAGTCTCCTGATGCTTTGAGTCTTTTGTGTTTGTAGGTCAGAGACGGTGGTGGAGAGGATGCTCTGTAACTGGATGTCCATCTGTATCTATCAGTTTCTCAGGGTAACGCACTCCTTCACTTATTCTCTGTTGTTGTTCTTTACCTTCTTCCATCTCTTCCTCTCGCCTGCTTCTGTTCTTCTTCTGTTCCTTCAGTTATGATTGACTCTGAGGAACTCTTTGTTTCTCTCGTTTGTTAAACGAGTGTATATATATACGTATATATACGTATATATATGTATATATATGTCGCCAGGTGTTAAAGAGATGATGTGTGTGTGTTTTAGGACACAGCAGGAGAGCCTTTATACAAACTGTTCAAGGCCTTGAAGCACCAGGTGGAGAAAGGACCGGTGGACGCCATGATGAAGAAAGCCAAATACACACTGAATGACACGGGGCTGCTGGGGGACGACGTCGAGTACTCTGTACTGGTGAGTACTCGGGACCAGGAGCGTCCCACTCGGGCATTCTTCACTTCTAAATTCAGAAAAATACTTTCATTGTTGCTCACCGTGGGGAACAAGCTTTCAGGTCAGAGTTTGACAGGTGTGTGTGTGTGTGTGTGTGTGTGTGTGTGATGTCAGACCCTGCAGGTGTTGGTGCACGGGGAGGGACCAGATGTGACTCCAGTGAAGGTGTTGAACTGTGACTCCATCACCCAGGTGGGTTTGTTTGCAGAGCTTCTTCTCCGGACGTCAGGGGACAAATATTTGATCAAATTCAGTCCGTGTTGGGAACGTTTTTATGCAGTAAAAGTCAAACCACTGACGGCAACTGAACTTAACTCAACTGAACTTAAAACTATGGACATATTTGTTGTGTGTTTCTTGTTGACGCCCTGTAACTTTGGCTAAACACGCTACAATGTGTTACGATAAAATGCAATACGATAAGATACGTTGAGATCCGATACATTGCGATAACATGTTACGATATGTTGCGATACGATATGTTGCGATACGATATGTTGCGATACGATATGTTGCGATATGTTGTATGTTGCGATACGATGCAATGCGATACATTACGAAATGAAGCTGCTGTATTTTTTATGTTTTGCGTCGGTGCACATTCTTTACTTTCTGCCCTGCAGGTAAAAGAGAAGATCATCGATCAGGTGTACAGGAACCTGCCGTACTCCCAGAGACCCGAGGTGGAGAGTGTTGCTTTAGGTGAGGAACAGTTATTATATTCACATTTATACAAATAAATCATTTTGCTGTCACAAACCTGGAGTTTGTCACCTCCTGCATGTTTGTAGTGGAACTGCAGGGTTAAAGTAAAACAATTAAATATATGAATGCTGTTATATTAAAGTCTTATAAAGACTATTTCAATGTAAAACAGAGAAACTAAAGATACACATACATAGTTTTATATATAATCTTTATTTAATCCGATGGACTTGCTGTGACCCGAGTCCAGCAGAGAGACGTCATACATGCTTTAATAAGTTCCTCTTCTGCTCCGTCCTCAGAGTGGCGTCCCGGCTCCACGGGTCAGATCCTGTCCGACCTCGACCTCACCTCCCAGAAAGAGGGACGCTGGAAGAGACTCAACACGCTGGCTCATTACAATGTGAGTTCACTCTACGCTTTCAATACCTAGTAATGAGCAAAATGTTTATATTGTTTTAAGTTATTTGGTAAGGTCCAAATATGCAAAAACAAAATCCAAATGTTTTGCTCAAAAAATGCAAAAGATATTCTGATACTAATATTGGTTAAATAGTCAAACAGCTTTACCTGAAGTGTGCTTCATATAACAGAGTTCACTCTCCTCCAGTTCCCTCTGTAGCTCTGCAGTCCAGGATCTCAACCAGCGCCTTTCTTTACTCATGTTGTGTGTCTGCGTATAAACGCTCGGAGCTTCTGGGCGTCCATGTTTGTTTTGGTACTAAAGCACGCAGCAGGATCTGCAGGTTTACCTCCAGAGCTCCTGTTGTTGGTGTATTGACTCAGTCGGAATCCTGAAATCAAAGACTTTCTAAAGAATCTGTGCAAGTTGGTGGAAACATTCTTTCTGTGTGTTCAGTGTGTTCAGGTTTGTCACATTGAAGTTCATGTAGTTTTCAATCAGCTTTGCTTTCGTGTGTTTTTTATTTTTCTGCACTGAAACGACGAGCAGAGAAATGTGGAGCCACGTGAGACTGCACGGAACTAAAGACGCTCCACCGGCTCCAACAGCTTCCCCCGCTGACATTTAGAGGAAAACGTTTCAGAGACAAAGTGCAGCTTAATAACTGAGCGCGTTGTTCAGAGACGGTGAATCAGGATTTATTCATATGGTTTCCTGTCTTCCAGGTTCGAGATAACGCCACGCTGGTTCTGTCCAGAGTTCTGCACTCGCAGTCTTTCCACCAGCACCAAGACAGCTACGAAGAGAGTACGTACACACACACACACACACACACAGTGCACTACGTTCTTTAAAAGTCACGAGAATGCAGGAAGCAAAGTCTCTGAAACCTGCTTTGGTTTTTAAATTCCTCCTGAAGGTCCTGAGATGTGAACCCTGAGGGTGTTTCTGTGTTTCCACTTTGTGAATTAATAAATCAACATCCAGAGAAACGCTTTACATACAGCGTGAGAATAAACACGTTTATTCAATGAGAGTCCCGAGTCCATGTGATGTTGTTTCAGGACCTTCAACTGTCAGATCTTATAAAAACCAACAGCAGAAATTGTTCTTGATAACAACAGACATCTTTCTTTTAACAATATTCTCTCCTTCTTTTTACCCGTTTATGTGACGTTATGTCTGAATAAATGTCTCTCTCTCACTCACTCACTCACTCACTCACTCACTCACTCACTCACTCACCCTCCCCCTCACAGAAAACGCCCTGCTGGAGGAGGACAACACGTTCCACCTGGTGCGTCCGGCTGATGAAATGGACGATGGGAAGTCAAAGCGAGGCAGCATGAAGGACAAAGCGATGACCAAAGCCATCACAGAGATCTACCTGACCCGGCTGCTGTCTGTCAAGGTGAGGCCACACAATGAAGTACATTTACCTTAAGTATACAATACTGAGGTACTTTCCTGCAGTTTTTCAGTGTTCAGTTTATTGAATTACAGTTGCAAAATGTAAGATACATAAATATAGTAATACAAATAAAAATAAGAAAACATTTAATCAATAAACTTTACTTTTGTGTTGATGCTAAACATTTTATAATATATGAACGTGTGTGTGTGTGTGTGTGTGTGTGTGTGTGTGTGTTACAGGGCACTTTGCAGCAGTTTGTGGACGACTTCTTTCGCAGTGTTTTGTGTTCGAGCACCGTCGTCCCGCCGGCCGTCAAATACTTCTTCGACTTCTTAGACGAACAGGCGCTGAGACACGACAACGTGGACGAGGAGACGCTGCACATCTGGAAGACTAACAGGTATATATATTTAAATATATATATATATATATATATATATATATATGTTTCTTTCATGTGGGATCAGTATAAAACTCAGAATAAAACTCACCTCAAACAGCCTCATGATGTCACTAAACTGCTAACATTTGTGAAGCTTTGAACTCATTCAACATCTGCTGGAGAAACCTGCTCCTCAAGGTGTGTGTGTGTGTGTGTGTGTGTGTGTGTGTGTGTGTGTGTGTGTGTGTGTGTGTGTGTGTGTGTGTGTGTGTGTGTGTGTGTGTGTGTGTGTGAGATACCTCATCAGCTTAACTAGAGTGTGATTACGTCCTCGTCGACATTAACAGCCCGGTGTAATTGACCGTCTTTCATCAGGACAGATAAATGATGAAGAAGAAGAAGAGGAGAGGAAATAGAGACAGAAAAGGCTTCTTTTTTTTTTTTTATTCAAACTCTGCTTTCACACTGGCCATGAGCTCGGCCTGTCAATCATCTCACACACACACACGCGCGCTGGACGATGAATTATTCATCGGCTGTGCTGCATTATTGACGAGGGTTACGGCCTGTGGAGGAAGACATGAAATGATGAAGGGAGGAGGGAAGGGAAAGGAAACAAGTGTGTCAGCAGCTCCTTAAAAAAAGGTCCGGAAAAGTCCAGAACTCCCCGTCTCCCCTCGTTACTGCTGCTCCACCTGTCGAGCTCTCCGTCCCTGTGATTAGGATTCATGCAGACATGGAATATAATACTCATAACTGTTGTGTATGAGCATTATATGATGACATGTATGATATTATCATTACTGTCATTATTATTAGAATGTAGCTGTTGAAGCATACATTTATTTACCCTTTCATGATTTTAGTCTGGAGTCGAGCTGCAGGACATAGATCCTAGTTTTTAATGTTAAAAGAAGATCAAGTTCAATCAATCAATGACAACTTTATTAGTCCTTGTTTGTTTGTGCAGCAGTGGGATGCACACATCTAACACAGGACACATAAATAATAGTAAACAGACCAATAAATACACCGTAAAGCTACTCGGTCAATTCAAAAGACAAAGTGAAAGCTTCTCCTCCCGTAGATGAGGAGGAGGATGTCGGAGGGTTTATCGCTGGAGGAAGTCTGAGGAAGTCTGAGGAAGTCTGAGGAAGTCTCCCCGATGACAGAAACTAAAACGCTTGATTTAAAAGATGGATTCTTCGTTTTTATAGAACTGTTTGTTGTAAAGATTCCTGCAGCAGACAGTTTTGTGTTTGACCTCGACAGATTGATGCCAGCAGGTAGAAGAGGAAAACGAGCAGACTCAATAAAAGATCAGGTCCCTGCTGGCTCTCTGTACTCGTTCACCATGTCGGTTACACTTACAGTTTAAGAGCTGAACTCATGCTAACGACATGCTAACGACATGCTAACGTTACAGCAGACAAACACACTTTAATCTGCTATTTATTTACACACACATTAAAGAAAACTTTAAAAAGGCTTTTTATTTGATGTGATGTTAACAACCTGACCCGTCTGTCTGTCTCTCTCTGTCTGTCTCTCTCTCTCTCTCTCTCTCTCTCTCTCTCTCTCTCTCTCTCTCT